GAGATCAGCCCCTCCCTTCCCTCTGCTCCACTCCCCCACTGCCCTGCAGTGTTTGTGTGTCTTTCCATTCCCGCATCACCTGCCCTGGAGCATCCTCCGGTGACGGCCCCTTTCGCTTTCCTTCCAGACCTTTTCCAGGACCTGAGCCAGTTTCAGGAGACGTGGCTGACGGAAGGTAGGCGCCCTTTGCTCTCTCTTTGTGGTGTGTCTCTCCTCTGTGTGCCGCTGGCGTTTGCCCTCTTCTCCCTTCGCCTGTCCTCCTCCTTCCCAACAAGCAATACATTCCTCAGCCTGGCCAACCTCTTGTATAAGTCCAGGATTATGAATCACACTATTATGCCGGGTATGTGCTTATGAATGGAACTTGGCCTTTGGCCCATTGACAGTGTCTGCAGGCAGTTTGCGGGAATTTTGTGTTAATTTGTCCCTTATCTTTGTTAGTTGCCAAACTGAGGATTTCTTAAATAAACAAGGGAAGGTTGCCTTCAGTTTGGGCCACAAAAATGCTTTGCTGCGACTTCAGAAAAGCCAGCTAGCGCTCGGAGGAGGCTGTCTGGGAATGTCTCTGCGTCTCTACCCAGTGTGTTCTGTTTTGATGTCTAAACTGGTTTGCCTTTTGGCTTCAGCTTTGAAGGGCAATGACCAAATCCCTCTGAGCCCAATTAATTTAAATTACAACTGTTTTTTAAGTGCAGCCAACATTTTAAGAGTTAAAATGTAGAATTTCCTTATTAGCGGAAGAAGTATTCTTGTGTCTTAAAAGGCACCTGGTATATTATTGGTACTTTACCATGTGTAGTATTATGAAATGTTTGTAATCGGAGAAGGCATCTTTCCCCTAATTCTACCACAACAAGAAAATACACTCCTGCTGTTTTAAAAATGTATCCGTTGAATGCAAAAAAAAAAAAAAAAAAAAAAGGCTTCTATTTTTTAAAAATCATGTGTTCAATTCCATTCAAACCAAAATGAGGGAACTTTTTGGTCAGGCGATGTTCAGGGATGTAGACTGCGTGGACAGCACATTTCATCTGGAGGCCAGGCCAGGTTTAGAATACTTGTCTTGTTCATGCTACAAGGGGGAAAAGAGGTGGATTTCCTTCAGCTCATCTATATAAATATCCTTCATCCATTCCGATTATGAAAGAGGTTCTTTTAAATCTCAAAAAATGTGGCGGGGGATGAAAAAGACGCAGGCTCAGATTTGGATTTTGGTGGAGTTTCAGTTCTGGCCTTCTGGTTGGTGACAGTAGTTTTATATGTGAAACTGTGCAAATTGAAAGAGCTGCACTAACCTCTTGTGCTGTGTGTTCCTAAGTACTAGCATGCCCTGCAGTGAGTAATTTG